GAGACTAAGTGTGGATTTAATTGTGTTGAGTAGAGATTGAATGAGTTGGGTTATAGCTGGATTCCCCTTGCCGGGATAGTTTATTATATTGTCTTGTTCCCTTGCCGGGATAGTTTATTATAACATCTTTCTCCCTTGCCGGGATTATATTGTGTATTGTGCTGTATGAAATGGGATCGTGTGGTACGCCGACCACGGTATACTATGAAATGGGATCGTGTGGCATGCCGACCACGAGATATTATGAGATGGGATCGTGTGGCATGCCGACCACGAGATATTATGAAATGGGATCGAGTGGTACGCCTACCACGTGATATTATGAAATGGGATCGAGTGGTACGCCTACCACGTGATATTATGAAATGGGATCGAGTGGTACGCCTACCACGTGATATTATGACATGGGATCATGTGGCACGCCGACCACGAGATATTATAAAATGGGACCGGGTTGCACTCCTGCAGCGAGAGGAAATTGAAGCAAGTGAAAGTGGTTTGTTTTCCCTTATTCCGTGCTAGACGTAATCATATGTAGTTTCTTTGTTATTCCTGATATTCTGTTTTATCTGCTACCCCGTAAGCATGTTCCCCTCCCAGTTTTAAATTGTTATTTTCCGCTATTATTTTGTTGTACTTGCATAAATATATCTGCACAGGTTTATTTGGTAGTCTGGTCTAGCCTCGTCACTACTTCGCCGGGGTTAGGCTAGGCACTTACCAGCACATGGGGTCGGGTGTGCTGATGCTACACTCTGTGCATCTTTTTGCACAGATCCAAGTGTAGGAGCAGCATTCTAGTAGTAGTGGAATTCTGGGAGCGAGCTCTCAGTCCAGGGACATTCGAGGTAGCCTTGCTGACGTCCGTAGGCCCGGGGTCCCGTCTGTTTTATTCAGTTTGTTATCACTTGTACCGAAGCAAACAGTATTGTACTCTGTTCATACTTTGTATGTAGTATTCTGTAGACGTTCGTGAGTTAGTGACACCAGTCTTGGGTAGAGGATTTTTGTTAAACTTCCGCATTTCTTTCAGTTAATCATATTGAGATTTTCGCGTATTTATTAAATGCTTTATTGTTCCTAATATTGTCAGAGTTCGTTAAAAGAGGTAGTTGTCAATTGGCTTGCCTAGCTCTCATTAGTAGGCGCCATCACGGCCCCCGAGGGTGGGAAATCCGGGCCGTGACAATTGGTAACACCCAAGGATAAGAGAAGGCGGATGGTGGCAGCTTTTACTACTGGGCTAAAGTTGTCAATATAATCAACACCAGGACGTTGATGATATCCCTTCGCAACAAGCCTGGCCTTATAACGATCCACAGAACCATCATGCTTTGTTTTGGTCTTGAAAATCCACTTAGACCTAATGACATTTTGAGATTCTGATGGAGGAACGAGTTGCCAAGTACCATTATGAAGAAGTGCATTATACTCGTCATGCATTGCACGGCGCCAGTGAGCAAATTTTGAAGCTTCAGAGTAGCATGTTGGATCTGTAACCTCATTGGTCTTGGCAGCAAAGGATGTAGGTTGCTTAGGTTTTAAAGAGCCTGTTTTAGACCAAGTGACCATGGTATGAGTTTTAGACTGACCTTGGCTAGAAGAAGACGCACCGCGAAGATCTTTAGACAAAGGTCCAGGTTTCTGTAAGGCAGATATCGATGATGATTCACTTATCTCATCAGGTTAAGCAGCAGATATTGACGTGTGTAACTGTAAAGCCTGCTCCATTGAGGAAGAAGAAGGTCTACATGAGGCATCGCATGGAGCTTCTAAAGGGTGCTGGTCGTGGATCGAGGATGGCACCTGGACAGTGATATGATCAGTTGTATGTGTTGATGTAGTGGGCACCGTAGCATCATCCTTAGCCGCAAATAGGAACACATGTTCATCAAAAACAACATGACGTGAGACATAAAACTTTCCAGAAGATGGATCAAAACACTTGTAACCTTTATGAATCTTACTATAGCCTAAGAAAATGCATGATTTAGAACGAGGTGAAAGCTTACTTTTTGTATATGGACGAAGCCAAGGAAAGCATAAGCATTCAAAAATGCGCAAAAAAAGAATAATCAGGATTCATGTTAAACAAAACTTTAAAGGGAGATTTGTGATTCAGACGGGGAGTTGGAAGTCTATTGATAGTGTAAACAGCAGTTTCAAAAGCATTAGTCCAAAATTTTTCTGGAACATTAGCATGTGTTAACAATGCACGTCCCGTCTCAACAATATGACGATGTTTACGTTCAACACAACCATTCTGCTTTGGGGTGTAGGGACATGAAGAGCGTTATGTAATACCATTCTCGCATAAATAAGTAGTTAAGGCTTGAAATTTGCCCCCCCCCCCCCTCCCCCAATCTGCTTGAAAGGATTTGATAGGGCGACCAAAGTATTTTTCAACAATTGTCCGAAATTGGATAAAGACGGATAATACTTCAGATTTAAATTGAAGAAAATAAATCCAGGTATATTTGCTATAATGATCAAAGAACATAACGTAATAGCGATATCCATCATTAGAAGTAACAAGGGTCGGACGCCAAACATCAGAACAAATCAAATCTAAAGGGTCGTTGGCCTTAAAACTAGACTCAACAAAAGGAATTTTGTGACTCTTGCTAACAACACAAGCTGGACATAAAGTAGGAGACTTATAAGTAGAAGAACAATAACTATAAGATGGCAAAGCCCGACAAACAGTAGGATAAGAGGCATGAGCTAAGCGAGCATGCCAGACACCAAGTGAAACAGCATAGGAAGCAGGTGAGAGACGCGACTGCAGATCTAGGAGTGCATCTAAACAATCATCTTTCGGCCCTTTGTGAAGAATGCCCCTCGTTTTCAAATCCTTAATTAAAAAATAACTAGGAAAGAATTCAATAGAAACCTGATTAGAGGTAGTAAAAGAACTAATGGACAATAAATTTTGTTTGGCATCTGGAACATGAAGAATGTTATCAAGAGAAAATTTACGATTAGAAATAGATATAGAACCTTCTCCAATATGAGAGATGGGCAGTGTTGAACCATTACCTAAGGTTACTTCCTCTGGACCTTGAAACTCAGAATGGATGGCTAAATTGTCAAGATCGGCTGTTAAATGATGCGTGGTGCCACTATCCATCAACCAGTTCTGTCTAGAATATGTTGGAGTGCTTGCTAAATTGGAAGAAGGACGACCAGTAACTCTAGGACCATTAGTAGACTTAGGCGAATGGCAAACTCGTGCGATATGGCCCTTGCCTTCGCAATTTTGACAAATAATTCCAGAAGTGTCATATTTTGCTTGTGTACCAGTGGAGTTTAGATGGTTACGATTCTAGAATTATTGGGAATATCCTTGACCACCAGCACGTCCTCGACCTCGACCTCCACGGCCTCTACCTCGGCCTTGTGTGGATGATAAGGAGCTTTGAGTGTAATGAGCAATGGGAGCTATAACAATAAGGGCTTCATCCCTTTTTAGTTGTCTTTCTTCGTTCAATAATTTGCCATAAAGGGCATCAAACGAAATATCTTCATGACGAGATTCAAGGGCTCTTGTGAACGGGCGATATGCAGGGCCTAGATCGGCAAGTACAAACTCAACGAGTTCATCATTATGGACTGGGTGTTGTAGAGCAGCAAGCTTATCTGAAATCGCCTTGGCACCTTGAACATAACTCTCAATGGTGGCATTATCACGACACAAAGTATGCAGTTGCGTCTTTAGTTCACGAACTTGTGGCTTGGAACCTGACGCATAGGCTGTCACAAGTTTATCCCAGGCTTCACGAGCAGTTTCTGCTCCAACCAACTGTGGTAAAACACTTTCCGAAATCGAAGCAACAATCCAACTCAACACGAGTTGATCTTGACGAACCCAAGATTTATAGGCTGGATTAGATTGTTTATCATCTAAAAACTCGGTTGGTGCTGATTCGCTACCATCAATATGATGGTTAAGACCACAACCACACACCATGGAAAGAAACTAAGTCTTCCATAACTGGAAATTCGACGATGTGAGCTTTACGGGCAGTTGATGAGCAAGATTTGGTGTGGAAGGGTATGAAATCATAATATTGCTGGAAGAGGATATGTCTTTAGTCATGGTGTATTGTTGTAGTGCTACAATAACGGGAAAGAGAAAAAAAAACGATGGTTGTTAAGCCACTATGGCTCTTGATACCATGATAAAAGTCTACAGATCTCTCTGTATCTATAACGTGAATATATATATACACACATATGAGGCTTTGAGTCCTAACTAAACTGCAGCACTTGGACACCAAGTAATGAACTATCCTAAATACAACAGACTACATATAGTTTCAGGTATAATAGGATTCTACTCTTTACACTTTCATCGATCGTGAAACTTTTTCTAATGGACTCATTAATATACGCTTATTTTGTTTTAATATGATTTTATATATGCTTGTCCTTTCATCATTTGGTGTTTTGGTTAATGTTAGCGGATAATTGCACAATTTGTGGATAATTTTGTTTCCTCAATTGGATGAAGCTAATTTTGTAGCAGCTCTACGTTCTTTTCAACAAAAGGCAATAGGCGTTATAATGGACACAAGATTTAATGAATATATATATATATATAGATTTAATGAATATATATATATATATATATATATATATATATATATATATATATATTGTGTGTAGGTGGTTTTCAGCATATATTTTGTGTGTAGGTGGTTTTCAGCTCCTCTTTATTCTAAATATCTTTTTTTTTTTAATTCTACAAAATTAACGTAAGTAACACTGGTAAAAGAATCCTAATGCTAATTAAAGTGATATTAATTGTGTTGAGTCCAAAACCTAAGCAAAAACTGAACCCTAAACCAAAGCAAAGACACAGCATATAAGTAAAATTAACCTAGCTAAACTGTGAAAGCCGTATTTAACATAAACGGCAGTTTTTGGTCTTTTCAAAAAGAAATTATTAGTACTTCATCTTCAGATTATTAACTACAGTACTACGTTGTTTCACAAATATGAATACGATCAAGGTTGGGCCAGTGGGAGGAAAGAATGGAACTGTTTGGGATGAAAAGGGAAGAGGTGAAATAGCCAAGATTTTTCTTTCCACTGGTCCAGATTTTGTTTTGTCACTTCAATTCCTCTACGTTGAGAATGGTCAATTTGTTTTGTCTGACAGATATGGTGCTCATCATAACTATACCTTTGCTACGGTACGTGTCCTTTGATTTGAGATTTAAAGTAATTTTTGAAACAATTTTTGAACTATCTTTTATCACTTCAATGAAACTTATATTATATCAAAGGGATATATATAAAGTGGCGGAGGCAAAATTGCTGCCAAGGGCAGTGGCGGAGCCACAACTAAGGGGTGTCGCCGGAAAATTACACTATATTGCTAGATAATTTTTATTTATTTATGTATATTTACTATACGTTGAATTCCCTTGATTTTCAATGTATCTAATAATTTATATTTTGACATCTCTTGATGTAATTTCTGTCTCCGCCCCTGGCCAAGGGGGTTCAAAAAAGAAAAAGGTTAGAAAGGTTGTAGCTCGTGGAAATAGAACCAATAACCTTACAAAAGTTTTGAACACCCTTGACTATTAAGCTATGGTTTTGGGATGTGTCAAAGGGATTCAAATCATAATACTTAGAGGTAAAAAAAATAGATTTTACCTTTTATATACAGTATAATTTTTAGGCGAAGGGGTTCGAGTAAACACCTTTCTGCCCCTAAATCTATATCTATGCTATATTAAAAGCACGAAGGCCCTTAGCGAAATGTCGTTCGCCTTTTTTGTCCCCTTTAAAATAGAGTTCACAATAAACAAAATAGTCATTTGGTTATTTTCCTAATATTTAAGATTTTAAAAAATACTATCAAACCTTTCCTTATTTAAATTATGTATACACTCCTACTATTTAGGTATTTCAATCTTTTCTCCTTTTTGAATAATTTGTGCCAAGTAACAAAGTATGCAATATTTTCGCTTCTGCTTACATATACACGTACCATACTTTTAGTTTTATGTACTTGATCAAATCTAAAGTTGTGTGAATTTATATTTTCCAATTAATTAATGTGCGTTGTGACTTGGGAGCTAATATCAAATCATCATTTTAGTGCGTTGGGAGCTTGACTTACATTATCATTGAGTTTTCCTAATTTAAAGAGTGAATATTTACACAAACAAAAGATATAGAATAATAATTTTATGAATGTTATGATGTTAGAGTCAAAACAGAAAAGAAAGATATTGATTTTGTCTTAGAATTCCATACTTTGTATGCTTTATAAAGAATTGTAGCATTTAAAAAGCGACAGTTTGACTTAATGACCTTGCTATTCTGTTTGTCTAACGTAGAGAGACTCTATGTTTTATATTAAATATTCCGCAAACAAAAAATATTGGATAATATAACATAAATGCAGACTAAAATAATTTTATAAATGTGTTGAAAAATTTAGACAAGTTTATAAAAAAAAAACTTTTACTTGGTACTCAAATGAAAGAAAGTCAATATAGAAAGAGATTTTAAAACCTTCTCTTTTTACTTAAAAAGTCACTCTAACATAATTAAGAATTTGCTTCTGCACTCTCATAGCTTAAGCATAGCATCTTCAACGTACCGGTGTTATAAGTGAAGTTAGATTGACAAATAGTGTCAATGTTTTAAAATGTAGTTGTTGGAGTCTACTTTTGTGATAATAATTTATTCTTTCGGTCGAAAAGAAATCACATATTAATTTGTATTGATTAAAGAAATGGAATAGTTTGTATTTTGCTCACGAGAAAGAAAAGCGATTTAACTTCTGTAAGTTAGCTTATCATGTTTGTGTTTTTAGAATAAAACTAAGATTAAGTTTGTATATATTGAGGGATGATTGAAACTATATAAGATAGAGTTTCTTCCTATATTGAGTTATTATGTAGGATGAGCATTCATCAATTTTAGAAGCTCAAACTTTTACTTTATAACTCAACGAAAAAAGTAATATCACATTTATGTGATTTATAAAAAGTTGACTCATCGATCGAGATGGGGTACACGCGCAACGCGCGTACCCTAAAGCTAGTTATATATATATATATATATATATATATATATATATATATATATCCTTGTCCTATTTACACAATACAATTTACCAATAAAGCAAACTCAATTAAATCTGAACGATCGTTCCATGTTATATTGAAGGTTGTGTTGGATTATCCATCAGAATTTATTACTTGGATAAGTGGTACCTATTATACCAATGGTTTGAGATCGATAACATTTGGCACCAACAAAAGTTCCTATGGACCATATGGCAGAAACACGGTCAATCCATTGGCCCCTTACTTCAGTTTCAGTTTTCAAATAGGAGATGATCGTTCATTTGATGGATTTCACGGCACCAAAACTGATGCTTTCATTGAGAGTATTGGGGTTTATATGAAGACCATCACATCATCAATGATCACAGCCACAGTTTCTCAACTCATGACAAGGTCAAAAAAGAAGAAGATGATCAATTAATTCAACATATTGTATTCAATCTTGTTGAATTTGAAATCAACATATTGTATTCAATCTTGTTGAATTTCAAATCAACCGGTTATTATTTCACTTTATGCCTAGCTTCTTTAGGAAAATGCACAAGTACCCCTGATCTATACCCTGATTCCCAACTATACACTTTTCTTCACGGGAATCCTATTACCCCCTAAACTTATTTTAAATGGAATTATTTGCACCCTTAACGCTGATATGGCAGAGTGTGGGTATTTCACTCTCCCAAAGGAGAGTGAGAAGAAGGAAAAAACGATTTTCAAATTATTTTTAATTCTTTTTTACCATTTTTTCTTACTTTTTTTTTCCTCTTCCTTTTCCTTTTTCTTTGTCTTTTTTCTTTTACTTTTTTTTTCGTTTCTTCTTTAATTCTGGCGGATATTCATTCACTGGCGACTTTGTCTAACCGATTTTCTTCCATTTTTTCTTTTCACATGCAAATTAAACTCTCAAAAAGATCATTCATAAGCAAAGCAAAATACACTCAGATTTGGGGGAAAAAAAATTCATCATCGGAAAGCCTTCCCACGCCGGAAAAAAAATGATATATTGAAATTTTAACTGGAAAAAGTTTTCTCAGCTTATATTCGTTTTTATTTCTTTTGCCCTTCCTCCCACACATAAATTACACTTTCAAGATATATATATATATATATATAACAAAACACACTTAGATCGGGATAAAAATCTGTCACCGGAAAAAAAAAATTCACTGGAAAAAATGGTGTTTCTGAAATTCCGACGACCACCATTTTATGCCGCCGATGACCAAAACAAAAAGAAAGAGGATGAAAATAACCAAAAACAATGATAATAATAACAAATAAGTAAAAAGAGGAAAAGAATAAAAAAAAAGTACTAAAAAATACAATGTGGGGCGCGTGTAAGCTCACCATTTGCCAA